TGTCTTTGGTTGTGTTCTTGTTGGGGTTGTTCTCTGGTGTAAGAGTTGTTCTATGGTGTAAGAGTTGTTCTATTCTCTTGTTGGGAAGTTATGGAGTCATGTGCTAGGTCGGTTTTATGCGACCTCCGGGTTTGTCCTCCCACTAAATTCGGTTATATAGTTGCTTTAGCCAGTTGCTGTACGTATCTGTTCCGTCTATAAAAGTTTTTTATTGTTCTTAAACAAGAATGGAGTTTCTAATTTATTTTTAAATTGCATTATTTTCTGTCCATGATTCGTTTTACGAATGGTTTTATTGATGGTGTACTTTTACCAAAAAAGATTGAAACAAACATGTAAAATAAGTCATATTTGTAGTTCTTAATTAATCCGTTGTGATTATTTTGGTATTTGGCTCAATAAAAAAGTAAACTCTAAACTTTTATTACTGTATGCCCTGTGATGCACACACAACAGTGAACAAAGCTCCAAACTCCCTACATCTCAAAGTCGATCAAACAACACAGGTTAACAAGTTTCAGACACTACACCTCAAAGTTCGACACAGCATATAAGTTACTACAGTAAGCTCTAAAGACAGCCGCTTTTTTAAGCCGGCCGCTGATATCTACAAAAAAAAAGACCTTTTCAAGCGGTCACCAGGTGGGGCCCGGACCCCGCAAACGGGAGCATGCACGAGTAGGTCACGTACTTAACGCTATCGATGAGCACGACAACGAAAATCCGGGAGAGAGACTTTGTCCGCATAACGCCGTCCACGTCAGCATCCACGGCCTCCCGAGGGTCGAACAGAACCGAAACCACCATCGAGGATGCGTATTTGTTCCCGTTGAGGTTTTCTTTCTTAGGATTTTCACATGATTGCTCGGTGGATATGTTGTGGTGGGAGGGTTCGGGATGGTGGACCGGATGGAGGATCCTCCGGTTTCTTGCCTTGTTCGTCGGGTTTGTCGTATTTTGAGTTTGGACTTTGGACACGTTTCGTGTGGCAGTGGTGGCAGGGCCAGCTGGGATTATGGCTCCGGCTGCCGAGACGTCAAATTGGAAGACTTCAGTGCACAAGCCCGAACTTAGCATTGGCCCTGCAAAGAGTGGAATGTCAACCAAATGTCAGGTCCATTAAATTTCAACAACCGGCCCTTTTACTGCAATGATGGGCCTCAACTATCATGATTAAAACAAGAGCATGAGTAAATTAACACGCCGATTTTTCTATTAGGATGCGAAAATATGAACAATTACGATTACCTGCAAGGCCCTCTCGGAACCATTGCTGAAGGCTCCCATCGTTGGCAGTCGACTTGACACCATCCTTGTCCACCGAACCAGAACCGAGAGCCCTTAACGGCGGATGCCTAGCACCATTTATTCTTGCCGGAGCCAAATCTCTAGAAACTACCAGACCTGTCTCACGGCCTCCCTTTCCGTCAGATGACATGGCTTTCTCAGTGGCCAAGACCGAGTGGATAATCAGATTCCCATCTATCTTAACCAGCTTATCATTCCTTGGCACATACAACGACGCAACAAGTGGTTCACTTCCATTGCCCGACCGCACAAATTCGCCAGCACTAGGGTCAACTCCACTCGGCTGACCCCTAAAACCGCTATGTTTTTCACCATACTCAGTCCCGTTCACCATCAACACTCTCCCACGAAGCCCATTCCCGATATAACCATCTCCTCCTTTAAAAGCCTCCCTAACCCCTCCGTACCTAGTGTTGAAAATCGGCACCAGGCCTCCAAAGAGCATTAAGAAAAACAGCAGACCAAGGAAACTAACACTAGCAACTTTCTTGGTCTTTGGCGCCTCGTTTTTCTTTCCGTCTACCTTCTTGCTCGTTTTTGGTGCCTGAGCCGGCTGCTTCTTTTTCAGCCTGGGGATAGGCACCAGAGGCACTTGCGACCCTTGTGGTTTCACCATGTAAGGTGGTGGGCACGGCATCCATGGATACATCATGGCTGGATGAGGGTACATCCCGGGAGGCGGTGGGGCCATCGGTGGAGGAGGCGGAGCTCCGGCGGCGGTGCCACCCATTTGCTGGCGCAGAGTTGCATTTTCAGCCATGAAAAAGGTGATTTTAGCATTCAGGTCCTGAATGGTTGAGTGCAGCGTCTTCACCTTGTCCTCCAACTCCTCCACGTAGTGTTTCTTCCTCTGTCTGGATAATTGGGCACTCTCCCGATTTCTCAGCAGCCTAGCCTTCCTTTTCTCTTCCTCCTCACTCGAAACTCCATTGTTGTTGCCACTGGTATTATGATTCTCTAAGCTACAATTAGATGATTTCCTATACTTGTTAGTCCTCGACTCGATACTATCATTCGCCAAATCTACGCCATCGTTTTTCCTTTTCAGCGAGGTACTACCGTTACTGTTAGCAGGCTCCTCTAATTTAATCTTCCGATCAACGACGCCAACCCTAATTGAACTATTACTCGAATTGGGCGAAGAACTTACCGATCGGGTGGCGCAAGTATCTTCTGATACATTTGAAAGGAAATTCTCTGAATCCTCAGATTCCGGCGGATTGCATTTCAATACCTTCTCATCGGCACCACCGCCGCAATTACCGGAACCCTCAGATTCAAGCGAATTGCATTTCAACACCTTCTCATCGGCGTCGCCACCGCAATTCTCAGCGCTGTCACGATTCGATCCGTTCGATTCAGGCGACGGCATGTTCAGATAGCCGGAAATCTGCTGAGATTCCATCTCCGGAGAAGAGGAGCTCATAACGCCGGAACCCTCCCAGCTCTGGTCGCCGAGGAATTCGCCGTCCCCTAGAAGATGGCGCAATTCCTCAGATGTAGATTTAAAAACCGACCGAAATTGGTCGAAATTCGGAGAGGATTGGGAGACATTAGGGTCTGATCCGGATTGGGGAATCGGCGCTAGCGCGGGCTCGAGAAGGTGGTCGAGGTCGTCGGATATGGGGAGGCATAGGTCGTCGAAGGAGAAATCGAATTCGAGGCCCTCGAGGACCCCGACGCCGTTGTTCGCGTCGTCGGCATTCGGACCATCGCCGCCGATCAAGAGGTCCTCGGAGAAGAAGGTGTTGTCAAGAGGCGGGCTGTGGAGGCATGAACCGAAATCGCCAATTGGATAGGGCGGCGAAGGTGGCGGTCGCTCGACTGCAACCTCCGGTGAGTCGGCCATAGGATTCAACTCAACGGAATTTTTTTGTGAGATTGGGCAGAGGACGTTGGGTTTCAGAGGAGAGGAGAAATAGTTTCACGGGGTTTTAGATGAGTAACTGTGACAATGCGATTACACGCTCTAATTGGGAGATTGTGTACACGCTCCATATATGGATTGTCCAATTTTTGCATGTAATTTTGACATTTTGTCATCATCATATACAATTTTCAAAGACTTCTTAATATTTTGAAAATACTGTTATATTTAATTTAAATTTGTTAGAAGAAATTTAAAAGTCTTAAACTACTTGATATTTTTAAAGTAATTTATTTAAAACAAATTACTTTGTCAAGTTTCACTATAAATCTCACTTTCAGATTTCAGGTTTTCTAAATATTTTATTAAAATCAATTATTCTTAAAAATACTTTAAATTTTAAAAGTATTAATATGTTGATTTTAAATGAATGGGTGAAAGTGTTGTCATATGAAAAGTCAATTTCATTGCAATGTGACTTGTGAAGGAAATACAATTAAATTAGATTGGTCCTTTACATTGATGAGAAATTGCTATGGATCTTGTATGTATTTGAACAATTAAAAAAAAGGAATGTAATTCATTGATTTGAATAATTAAATTGGCTTGGTTCTTTACCTTAATGAGAATTTGCTAATGGATCTTAGGTTTATTTGAAAAGTTAAGAAAAAATAATGTAATTCATTGATTTGTGTATGAATAAATTAACTTGATTGATGTTATGACATGAAAACAAAAATATGGAGGTTTATGCATAAAGCTGGTCGTCACTAAAATTCAATAAGGTTTTGAATACAGTGAAAAGTACCATCATTATTCAGTTCGACAAATTGTTTTAAGTGTTGAATAATAAATATTTCAGAACATACATAATTAGATTTACAATTGCGAAGATCGAATTGACGAAGTAATTCACAATTATTTACATATATATAAGATGCATTTTAATATTCAAAATGTTAAATGGGATTATACGAGCTGAGGTGTTCAGTTCATACAACTTGAACTACAAACAACAAAAAATACAATACAACTAAGAGCGGGAAAAGTATAGTTGAGGTGAGAATATCTCTTTCTGCTTGACAAATACGCTCGTGCAGTGTTGATGGATAAGTGCGTCTTGTCTTCAAAGATACAATGACGATCGTCTCTGAAACTGTAGCACACTAGACTTCAGAACTCCGACGAACTAGAACAGAGTCGGGAAGTGAACATTGGATGTTATGATACGTGAGACTTTGTTGGAGAGTAAGAACGCAGGTGATGTTGTGTGTCCTTTTGCAACTTCTGCCATGTCCTATTTATATGATTTCCTTCCGGTGGGGAATAATACATGCCTCTTATGACATGTAACAACTCACTTAAGGTTGTTCTAATGGGTAGAAAACAGTCAAATCGTTTTTCATATGTAAACTCACCTCACCCCATGTCCAGGTTTAGGCTCAGTGAACCTAGTGAACGCCTCATAGACTGGGTCAGAAATCGAGTCCAGTTCAACTCGGATTGAATTTCAATTTTGGGTCACGAATTTGCAAATAATTTTGAAGCAAAAAAATCATAGGGGTTGGGCCCAAGTCCCAAGCACAACATTGGCCCATACCGTCCAAGATTTCTCAAATCCAGCTCACATTCCAATTACCAAGGACCAAGGCTTGTGCTCGAGCTGAGCTGATCAGCAGGCGGATGCGCATGTGGCCGTAGTCATCTCCAACACTTACTGCATAAATTTGTTGTTATTCTCAAACTCTCTTTATTATAGTAAGATAGTTAATCATATTTAATAGACGAATGTGCAAAATGACTCTTGATCTTTTAAATCTTACAACTAATGTTTTACATGCCCATTAATAGCTAAACTTAATCATTTATTTCTCAATCATGAAAATCAGTTTTGAGTAAATAAACATATGTAATATGATCCACATCAAATAAATTGGACGCGTATTGCCTCAAATTAGAGACAACATTCCATTTAGATTATTTAAATATATAAATGTAGATTAATAAAGACTAGAGTTACATCCTTCACTAGAACAAGATATTTTATTTTGGTCAAAATCAATAAATCATGAATCTACAAGACAACATAACAACCTTTGGAGTTTGGATTTTGGAAGGCGAAAAATCTTATCTTACTCCAATAATGACAAAATCATAAATAAAACTATTAGACAAACTTAATCATTAAACAATTTGTCAATATGTAAATTTTAAGTTGAAATGAAAATATAAAAAAAAATAACGTCTGATGACATTAGTATTTATTTTTATTAAAAAAAAAAAAATATGACTGATCGACCTAATTAGGTTGCCTCACAAATTTTTATTTATTTATTTTTCTTTTTTACAAAATCAATTGGTGTAGGCGCGTGAAACAAAAATGCCCAAATGCGCGGTGTGGAAAAAAGGAGATAAAATCACAATTTGCAATAGGCACACACTATTTTTCCCGAAACTTCCATTTGCTTTCAAACGTGTGTAATGTGTTTAGTTATACTTCGCGTTTACGAAAACTTCAACTTGGCCTCTTGTATTTTTCTGTTAATAAACACTTTATCCTCAGCTCTTTTTATTTTATTTTATCTTATTTAAATTTTGGGTCGCTATATTAATTATTGCATAGATTTAGGGTTGCTTACCTTCCACTACTTAAAATTTCATCTCTTTTTTTTTTTTTATATTTAATAATTCATTAATAATGAGTGCTACTTAGCTTTAAGGAGATGAGTGGGATTTTTAGACCTTATGAAATTTCGTTGTAACCATCATTTCATTTTGGATCTTGCTAAAATATATCACATTATCTACTATGTATTTTGTCTTTTGTTGTCTTGATGTGCAAAATATACTCCAATTGAGTTGAACAAAGTATTTTTCTCTACCCAAATAGGTTAAATATATTCACCAACTGAGCTACCCAGCGGCTCAACCGAGTGCGAGGCTGAGGCTAGCCGCAGTACCAGAACACATCGGTCGCGCGTCTGGTGTCAACCACGGTCTGACCCAAGCCATCAACTAGCTACCGGACCGCACCGGCCGAGTCAGAATCGGGCTAGAGGCAAGCTCGAATTCACTCCTCCCGAGACTGTAAATCTTGCTCAATTGATGGCTTGGAGTGCCCATGGAAAGAGTTCGAGTGCTCTCTCAAGCGGTATTCATACTCATCGGGATAAAAAGTAGTATTGCTCGTCCCTTTACCAACCTTATTATACAATATACGACGTGGTTGAAAGATCTCAATATCTTGACATGTGGCTGATTGACACATTTGAATGTGTCAATGGAAAAATTTGTGCCTATCGATAAGACCAATACATTTATAATATTTTTTTTCCTTTTTTGCTATTGGATCAAAACACTTATATGTGCATCCGAGATTCAATTATTAAAAGAAAATGGTCGAGGGTACTGCCCTGATCAGATAAGATCGAACGTTCTTATGCATTGAATGAGCGGGTGAATAATTCTGATTTTATGTATGTTCGAAACATGTTGGCTACTTCATGGTTTATTAAGAGTCATCATTAGGCCAAGCTACTAGAGATTGATGGAATTTGTGTGAAATTAATATGAATTAGGCTGATTAAGACAACATTTTCATAAAAGATTTCACTTACATAGATGCAAATCCAATTTAAAAGATGTACACAACTATCTTCTTACTTACCTGGTACAACATTTGATCTATATGATTGGACTTGGCCCATTTAGAATATTTCCGCTTTATCGGCCCATATAGAATAAATCCTCAAGTTAATGGGCTTGGCTCAATTTACTAATACTACACTTCAGTTAAAACTCGATCCAATATCTGAATGCCCTTTTTGGTCTTTTCAAGTCTCATCCCTCCCCGACAACAGACATGGTCAAGGGTCGATCCGACCCGGCACCAAACCGATCCACACCCTGCCCGCAATTGGCCCGAATTACGTCGGCCAACCGTGGCTATGCGGGTCAGTTCGGTTCTTTATTTATTTATTTTTTTGTCCCGACAATTCGGGCTAGGTCGCGTGCTGAAAGACGGACGGCCTTTTTGTAATTTTATTCTTTTAAGGGTCAGGCCAGGTCCGAACCGGCCCATAGAAATGGCTAGGCCGGTTACGAGTCATCAAATTGAGGAAGGCCGCACGGCCGACTGGGTCGAGCCGGGCCATGGCCCGTCATTTGGCCAAGTCTACCCAACAACAGTCGCTCGTGTTTTCCGACAAAGAAAGAAAGAAAGGGGAGAAAATATCTGGAGCAAAAATGGTTTCCATTTGTTATTTCCAAATTCCAGCTGAGCCCCATCACCACTCTCTTCATCTGGGGATAACCCAAAAATGAAATTTGAGAAAAGGGGTTTTCTCTTTTTTCTCAATTTCCTCTTTATCGTATAATTGTTATCTGTATCATTGTACTTTTGTACCAGTTTATTGCTTTCTGTGTTTGTGCTGTATTCCGTGGATTGTGGGGATATGGATTTAACTTCTCAAGCACCTGTTGGGGATAGCGTGAAGCAGCCGCCGCCGAAGGCGGCGTATGTCTCTGCGGTGGACCCTTTTCTCGTTGAGGCTCTACAGAACCCTCGTCATCGTCTGACCAGAGTACTTTGTTGAGCTCTGTTTT